TTAGTGATTTTTTTATTTGCAGTGCTTAAAATGTCCAAATGATGTTCACAAGCAAGTCTGCAAAGGGTTAAATAATGACCAAAATAGCTTGTACACTTCTATTACTATTCGGTTGATTCCAAAGCAAAAAAAAACACTGGATGTATTAATTGACTCTAAATAGGAATACAACTGAGGCCACTGCATGTTTTTGAAGGAGCCCACCCAAGAATGTAGTTTGATTAGTATGTAATCCTTTCTCACAGTTAATTAAAAGCCATGCTGCCATTAAAGGTGTGGGTGAAACCTCAATCTGAACAATACTGCTGATCCCTTGGTTACACAATCTTTATTGTTACTAGCTACGTTGATTGCTTCAGTTGTTCTAGTTTGGTCGGTTTTATAAATCTTTATTTTCTGTCGGTGAACGTTCCGCTCTCGCTGCCATCGTATAGTTCTTTAATGTTCGTAGATTATCTTACTTGGACATCATTATACCTTGTTTGACTTTGCCAATGTGACCAACCACTCATTGAAGCTTCTGCAACCCCTAAAATATTAGTGTTTTGTTAACATTATCTTCAATTTGTGGTACTACTTTGAGGTAGCCACTGCCTACCGACATTTTCCATGACCTTGTGGAATCCGAGGTCGTTGTTCTGTTGGCAAGAGGTTGATTTCAAGATATCTTATGCCAACAAAAAAACAGCTCCGCTTGTTGATCCGCATTGCTGCCACGTTGAGTCGTGTTTTTTCTGGCAGACATCACACGTTGCATCTTCCAAGGTCATGGCAGACGGTCAAAATCTCCATATCATGACGGGCTAAACGTCATAGGCGTGTGGTGCAGTGTATAGAGCCTTGGTCTGGGGATCAGATGGTCACAGGTTCAAATCCCACTGCAGACAGCATGTCGTTGTGTCCCTGAGACACTTCACCCCAAATTGCTCCTGTGGGGATTGCCCACAGTATTGAGTATGTAAGTCGTTTTGGATAAAAGCGTCTAACAAGTGACATGTAATGTAAACAAGATACAAGTAGTTTTGGTTTTCATAGAATGACTCACACAAACGCAGAACATGCCAGTTTCTTTTCTGTTACAAGGCGGTGCTAAACATTCTGCATAGACAAGCTACACTATATACATGTGAATGTATACACAGGCGTTGTAGAGAGATAATACACAAAAAGGTTATTTCAAAGGCCTTGTCACGCATCACTTGTTGACTTAAGTAAGTAATAACTAAACCACATCCGTGTTCCAAAGGACGAGAGAAAGATGTTTACCTATGCCCAGAGAGGCTCAACAAAACATCACACTAGGATGTTTGGTCATTTAAGTCAACATCATTTAAGTTTGTTTATCAAAGCACATTTGGTTAATCTTATTCAAGTAAGAATGCTGCTGTTTAAACTTACACTTTTATTAAAAACCAAAAATCAATTAATAAAAGAGACAGAAATGTGTTATAGAGAGTGTTAGTCATTCAGGGAGCAGGACAGACTGAAAAGAGTCAAGGGGAGCTTATAAAAGCATTTAATTACACAAAAGATGCGGTGATGTACAAATGAAATTTGCGAGTGGAGGCTCTCTCCCAATGCGTTCGGTCAGCCGAGGTCAAGAGAAGAAGAGATGGATTCTTGGCTTGCTCTTCCTGTTGTCATCCGAGGTCTTCTCCTATTGGCCGGCGTCGTCGGGGGGCGGGTCCAATGCAATTCCTGCCTTTTTCTGTTGCTAAATTAAATCATTCTGGTGTCTGTGGTTATTTAAACATTCCCTAATAAACGTGATTTCAGCGTCAATAAATGAGTGTCAAACCCAGTGTGGTTAGGGTACAACATCACGTCATTTCACCTTCAATTCACGGTTTGAAAACGTAGCATTTCGCCACATGCTAATGCTAACCGGAAATGACGAAATTCACTAGCGGAAAACCGGAAGTAGTGTGAATATTCGGTTCGGCCTCTATAATCAACCACGACACTCTTCTTGACTTGTAAATAGACGTCTAGGGATATTTCATATAAGTAATGAGGCAATAACGAGGATTAATCAAGTAATTTTTGACATATATTTACACGAAAACCCGCCTGCTCCCATCTTAATTTTAGTTACACTTATACCCGCTTAATTTAGTCAAA